CCATCCATCCATCCATGCATCCATCCATGCATCCATCCATCCATGCATGCATGCATCCATCTATCCATATATCCGTCCATCCATCCATCCATCCATCCATCTGTCCATCTATGCATTCATGCATCCATCCATCCATCCATGCATCCATGCATCCATCTATCCATCCATGCATCCATCCATCCATCCATGCATCCTTCTATCCATCCATCCATCCATCCATCCATCCATCCATCCATTCATCTATCCATCCATGCACCCATGCATCCATGCATTCATCTATCCATCCATGGATGCATGCATTCATCCATGCATCCATCTATCCATCCATCTGTCCATCCATCCATGGATCCATCCATCCATCCATCCATCCATGCATTCATCCATTTATCCATCCATCTGTCCATCCATCCATGTATCCATCAATCCATCTGTCCATCTATGCATTCATGCATCCATCCATCCATCCATCTATCCATCCATGCATCCATCCATCCATCCATCCATCCATCCATCCATCTATCCATTCATCCATCTGTCCATCCATGCATCTATCCATCCACCCATCCATCCATCCATGCATCCATCCATCCATGCATCCATATATCCATGCATCCATACATCCATGTATCCATCCATCCATCCATGGATCTATCCATCCAACCATCCATCCATCCATCCATGCATCATCCAACCATCCATCCATCCAACCACCCTTGCATCCATCCATCCATCCAACCATCCAACCACCCATGCATCCATCCATTCATCCAACCAGCCAACCAACACCTGCAGACAACCCAGGGATAGGTGAAGCAGAGTGAGGGACTGGGAATAAAAGTCCCTTGCCCTCTGGGATTGTCCATTAGTAGGAAGACATGATGAGTGACTGGCCCATCACCTTCTGGACATCATGTCCAGGAGCACGGGAAGTCTGGACTGCGGGAGGAGATCAGGCAGGGAAAGCTTCCTAGAGGAGGTGGGCTTTGAACATGGCCTTGAAGAGAGGTAAAATGTAAAGAGGCGGGAGGAAAGGAGAGCAGGCCAAGACCAGGTGGTGGCACAGAAAGGTCTTCGCGGCGAAGACGGTGAGGAGCAGGTGGGTGGCTGGCTGGGGCCGGGGTCTGGAGGCAGGCTGGGCTAGGCGGGGAGCCTCAGAATGCCAGGAGAGGCACGGCCCGGTTCTTGGAAGCCTAGTCTGAAAGCGGAGGCATAGTTCTGCCTCCCGGTACACCTGGAGTGGCAGGCACGACCTCGGGAGTCACAGCCTGCTGAGGAGACACAGCCTTGGTCTCGACACACCAGTCTGAAGGGGGTGAAGGGTGGGGAGGGGACACGGCCTGCCTTTAGGACATGCTGCAGGAGCCCCAGGGACCCCTTCAGTGTGGTCGAGGGATCACTCCGCAGTCTCCTCCGGCCTCTTCCAGGCTCCATATTCCCTGGGCCTTTTTCAGAGGCTCCCTTGGGCTCGGGCACCTACTCTCGGTGACCCATCCCCACCCCTTCTCCCGCAGGGGTGCCTTGTGGGACATTCACCTTCCAGTGTGAGGACCGCAGCTGCGTGAAGAAGCCCAACCCGCAGTGTGACGGGCTGCTGGACTGCAGGGATGGCTCAGACGAGCAGCACTGTGGTAAGCCTGGCCTGCGGCTGCCTGGGGCCCTTCAACGGGGCAGACGGGCCGAGAGAAGGCTCTCTCCAGCGGCTGGGCCCTGGAGTGTGGCGGGGAGGGAGGTGCCCACCCGGGGAAGCTGAAGGAGAGCTCACTTTGTCTCTTTCTGTCCTGCCTCTGCACCTGCTCTGGGTCCGTCCTCTCCTTTATTCTTTTTCCCGCCTCCTTCCATCTGTCCTCTGCCCTTCCTCGATGCCTCCCCTTCTCCGTCTCTCTCTGCCTGTTTCTCACCGGCTTCTGGCCCTGCCCCTCCCCCACGCACCCAGACTGTGGCCTCCAGGGCCCCTCCGGCCGCATAGTGGGCGGTGCCGTGTCTTCGGAGGGCGAGTGGCCCTGGCAGGCCAGCCTCCAGGTTCGGGGCCGACACATCTGTGGGGGGGGCGCTGATCGCTGACCGCTGGGTGATAACAGCCGCTCACTGCTTCCAGGAGGACAGGTGAGTGGGGGGCATGGGCACCTAGACCACAAGAGACGGGGTAGAGAAGGCCATGGCACGGGGTGGACAGCGGGTCTGAGATCCAGGCAGGAAGGAAGGGTGGTGGAAGTCCAACAGACGGGCTGTTCTGACCCTTGGGTTCAGTCCTGGCTCCACCATGAACATAGTCTGCGGCCCCAGAAAGGATGCTCAACCTCTCTGCTCTACTTCCAGTATCTCGATTCAAGCTGGGTCAGTGATTCATTCACCACTCACTCATTTACTCATTCATTCAGAAATATTTCTTGCGCTCCTGCTAGGGAGCTGGGCCGGAAACTAGGGGTACCAGCAGAGAACAGAACTGCCCGACCTGGCCATAGGCCATGCCCCCCCTCTGCCAGGTTGCCCCCCGACCTGGTGAGTGGGGCCCAAAGAAGCCAAGAAGGGACATGCCACCCGGCCCCACAGAGGTCTTCTCCATCTGCACGATGGGCTCTCAACACCTCCTCCCCCCACCCCAGCCCCCATCTCCTGCCCATCATCCCCCCCGCCCTGCCTCACCCCCAGGACAGCCAGCCCTGGACTCCCCTCCCACACCTCCTCTTCTGTCCTGGGTCTACACAGCCCCCAGCCAAAGGCCAGGAGCCATCGGGGCGCCCCACCCCCTGCTCCTTACATCCAGAGCCAGAGACCAAGTTCTCTCGGTGCCCCCGGCCAACGCTCAGCCGTGGCCCGTCCACGCTATCGCCAGCGCCTCGGGCCACCCCAGGCAGCCCAGAGCCCAGCTCCGCTTTGCATTCCCAGCCCAGGTGCCTGGGGGCTCTTTCTGGGTGCAGTCTGACCACCTCATTCTCTCACTGCCTCCCTGGCTCCCCGCAGCCGGCAAGGTAAAGAAAGATTTGGACCCTGACCTGACATCGGGGGGTGGGGGTCTTCACTGCCCCTTCTCTGCTGACTGCTCCACACTGGGAGCCCCCTCCCCTCCCCAGTGAGGACTAGGCAGGTCTCAGCGAGCTCACAGCAGCCCCATCTGTAAAGCGGAGGGACAAAAAGGAGAGAAATGTTCGTCACTGCCTGGCGCTGTGCTAATTTTTTTACACGCACAGTCTCACTGAATCCCCCCAGTAACGTAGGAGTAGAAGGTGCTATTCCCATTTCACAGACGGGGAGACTGAGGGCTAGAGAGGCGCACACACAAGGAGGCAGGGGTGAAGCTGGGACTGGAACCCAGGCAGGTGGATTCTGGCGCCAGCACCCACGCTGTACCCCCCCCCCCCACGCCAGCTACCCGGGGGGGAAGGGAGGGTGTGGTGGCCCGCGGCCCACGTGGGGAAGCTGGCTCTCCTCAGGGGCTGGGACTGGAGAGGACGCGGCTGAGCGAGGACGCACCCCCTCCCCACCCCCAGCATGGCCTCCCCGGCGCTGTGGACCGTGTTCTTGGGCAAGGTGTGGCAGAGCTCGCGCTGGCCGGGCGAGGTGTCCTTCAAGGTGAGCCGCCTGCTCCTGCACCCTTACCACGAGGAGGACAGCCACGACTACGACGTGGCCCTGCTGCAGCTCGACCACCCCGTGGTGCGCTCGCCCGCCGTGCGCCCCGTCTGCCTGCCCGCGCGCTCCCACTTCTTCGAGCCCGGCCTGCACTGCTGGATCACTGGCTGGGGTGCCCTGCGCGAGGGCGGTGAGCCGGCTTCGGGGGTGGGGGGGGGGGGGGGGCAGGTCTAGGGAGTCGGGGAGCGGGCCACCTCCGGTCGCTTCCGGGCCCCGAGGGGGCGGGACAAAGGGCCCCAGGGCTCCACCCCAGAGGCCCTCTGGTCCCGGGGTGAACCGGGGCTGCCTGTCACAGAAGCGGGTGGCTCCTGCCTTCCAGGCCCTTCCCTCCTTGCATGACGTATTTAAAGGGAACGAAGGTCGCGGGGGAGGGGGGGGGGATGTTCCATTGGGGGATATGGGTGAGGTGGTGGGGCAGGCTAGGAACCCAACAGCCCCACGGGCAAGCTCCGACCTCCGCTCCTGGGACAGAGGTGGGGCGGAGGGGGCCTGGGGAGCGCTCTTAATTGTTACCACTTTCTACATCGACGTTGGGTTTTAGGGAACGTGGTCTCATGTATTCCGTCGGACACCCCGAAGGGTGGCTATTACGGTCCATTTTATGGATGGGGAAACTGAGGCGCAGAGACATTTTTTTTTTTTAGCAGTTGCTCAAAGTCACACAGCCAGAGAGGGTTGGAACCTAGGACCGCCTGACCCCAGGCCCCCTGCTGTTCCTGCTACAGCCTCTCAGCAGCAGGGGGGTTTCTCCCCTCCCCACCTAAACTGACCATCCCTAGAGGCTACTTCTGTTCCGTGAATATAGGCCCAGGCTGGCATAACCACAGCCATGCCCAGCACCCCTTAAAGGTGGTGGCTTTAAAGACGGGCACATGATGTACAATCTGGAGGCAGGCCAGCAGGACCGTGCGGATAATTTAAAGATGGGGAAACTGAGGCTCAGATGGAAAGTGACTGGATGGAGGGGATGATGGAGAAGAGCAAATCAAGGGCTGGTTCATTTGCTCTTTCATTCATTCATTCATTCATTCATTCATCCAAGGGCACATTTATGAGCACCTACTATATGCTAGGCATTGAGTTGGGCAAAGGGACTATAAAGATGGAAAGAGAACATTCTGGGTGGGGGGAGACGGTGCTAAGAGCCAACATGGGTGGGGAGGCACAACGGCGGTGGCAGCCCAGAGGCGACGCCTAGCCAGGCACGGTCTGGGAGGCGTCCAGAGGAGGGGCTATATCTAAGCTGGGGCTAGGAGGACAGGTGGGCAGTAACAAAGCGGAGGAGAAAGGTGTTCAGTTAAGCGCACAGGAAGCTGCCCAGGGAGCCCTGAGAATGGCCTGCACCAGGGGGCAGGTGGGTCTGGGTGAGGACCGGCAGGAAGGACAGGGGTCTCATAGGCCACTGTGAGGAGGTTGAACCAGGAGTTCACCCGACCCGCACTTTTTTTTTTTTTTTTTTAATATATGAGATTTATTGTCAGATTGGTTTCCATACAACACCCAGTGCTCATCCCAAAAGATGCCCTCTTCAATACCCGTCACCTGCCCTCCCCTTCCTGCCACCCCCCATCAGCCCTCAGTTTGCTCTCAGTTTTTTTAAGAGTCTCTTATGCTTTGGCTCTCTCCCACTCTAACCTCTCTCTCTCTCTCTCTCTCTTCCTTCCCCTCCCCCATGGGTTCCTGTTAAGTTTCTCAGGATCCACATAAGAGTGAAAACATATGGTATCTGTCTTTCTCTGTATGGCTTATTTCACTTAGCATCACACTCTCCATCCAGTTCCATCCACGTTGCTACAAAGGGCCATATTTCATTCTTTCTCATTGCCAAGTAGTATTCCATTGTGTATATAAACCACAATTTCTTTATCCAGTCATCAGTTGATGGACATTTAGGCTCTTTCCATAATTTGGCTATTGTTGAGAGTGCTGCTATAAACATTGGGGTACAAGGGCCCCTGTGCATCAGCACTCCTGTATCCCTTGGGTAAATTCCTAGCAGTGCTATTGCTGGGTCATAGGGTAGATCTAGTTTTAATATTTTGAGGAACCTCCACACTGATTTCCAGAGCGGCTGCACCAGTTTGCATTCCCACCAACAGTGCAAGAGGGTTCCCGTTTCTCCACATCCTCTCCAGCATCTATAGTCTCCTGATTTGTTCATTTTGGCCACTCTGACTGGCGTGAGGTGGTATCTGAGTGTGGTTTTGATTTGTATTTCCCTGATGAGGAGCGACGTTGAGCATCTTTTCATGTGCCTGCTGGCCATCTGGATTTCTTCTTTAGAGAAGTGTCTATTCATGTTTTCTGCCCATTTCTTCACGGGGTTATTTGTTTTTCGAGTGTGGAGTTTGGGGAGCTCTTTATAGATTTTGGATACTAGCCCTTTGTCCGATATGTCATTTGCAAATATCTTTTCCCATTCCGTTGGTTGCCTTTTAGTGTTGTTGATTGTTTCCTTTGCTGTGCAGAAGCTTTTTATCTTGATGAGGTCCCAGTGGTTCATTTTTGCTTTTAATTCCCTTGCCTTTGGGGATGTGTTGAGTAAGAGATTGCTATGGCTGAGGTCAGAGAGGTCTTTTCCTGCTTTCTCCTCTAGGGTTTTGATGGTTTCCGGTCTCACATTCAGGTCCTTTATCCATTTTGAGTTTATTTTTGTGAATGGTGTGAGAAAGTGGTCTAGTTTCAACCTTCTGCATGTTGCTGTCCAGTTCTCCCAGCACCATTTGTTAAAGAGACAGTCTTTTTTCCATTGGGTAGTCTTTCCTGCTTTGTCACCGACCCGCACTTTAGAACCGCCTGAGGGCTGGGGTGCCTGGGTGGCTCGGGTAGGTGTCCGACTTCGGCTCGGATCATGATCTCACAGCTCGTGAGTTCGAGCCCCACATCGGGCTGTGCCAACAGCTCGGAGCCTGGGGCCTGTTTGGGATTCTGTCTCCCAATCTCTCTCTCTCTCTCTCTCTCTCTCTCTCTCTCTCTGGGGCCTGTTTGGGATTCTGTCTCCCAATCTCTCTCTCTCTCTCTCTCTCTCTGCCCCTCCCTGGCTTGCACTCTCTCCCTCAAAAATAAATAAACATTAAAAAAAAAAAAACAAAAAACCAACCACCTGAGGGCTTCCAGAAAGACACCGATATCGAGCCCCCCGCTGGCCAAACAGACCAGATCTCAGGGTGGGACCAGGCACAGTGCCGACTGAGGCTCCCTGCGGGGTCTCACATGAAGCACTCGTGGAAAAGCACTGGGCTGGATGCTGGGGTAGCACTGATGACTTTTAGGGGAAGAGTGTAGGGGTCAGGTGTGCGCTCTGGAAAGATCCCCCCAGGAGCCGTCACCGAGCAGTGCAGGCAAGAGGCCGCCAGCAGGAGGGGCTGGGGGGTGGGGAGAAGGACACTAGTCCTGATAGGCTTTGGGGGGGGGGGGGGGGGCGCCCGGGGGGGGGCGGAGCCAGAGCCGCGTGATGGGGAGGCGGCGGGGTCGGGGGTGAGCAGCGCAGATGACGGGGGGCTCCTGAGAACAAGGGGAAGGGCGGGAGGAAGAGTCAGATCTCACGTCTGCCTTCCGTCCTCGGCTGCACGGGGCAGGCCCCACCAGCAACGGTTTGCAGAAAGTCGATGTGCAGCTGATCCCGCAGGATCTGTGCAGCGAGGCCTATCGCTACCAGGTGACGCCCCGCATGCTGTGTGCTGGCTACCGGAAGGGCAAGAAGGACGCCTGCCAGGTGACTCTGGGGGAGGCAGGGGCGGGCAAGAGGAGGGAGGGGGGGAGGGTGGCCCTCCTGCCCCCCACGGCCTGGCCCTCTGCTCGCGCCGGCCTGCCGAGGCCCTGAAGCCTCCCAGCGACGCGGGGCTGGCTAGCCGCAACTTCATTGATGAGGAAACTGAGGCTCCGGGTGGGGGTGGGGTGGAGAGACTTGCCCCAGGTTGTCCCAGATCCCAAGAGAACCCTGGGGGGCAGGTCTAAGGCTCAAACCCGGTTCCGCCCCCTGCCCCTGCAAGGCACTTTGCCTGAGGGGACACAGTGGCAAGGATGGGAGCCCACAGAAGGGAGGCAGAGGTGAGTGGGGCGTGGGGACACCCGCGGACACTTCCGCGACGGCCAGGACCCGCGGAAGCATGGGCAGGGCTGCTTTGGGCTCTCTCCACTTACCAGGCGCGGGGCAAGTGGAGGCTTCAGAAGGGGGTGTGACTTTCTTGTCGGCTGGAAAATCCCCAGCGGCCAGGACCCTCGCCTTACCCTGACGCGGCCCTGTCTCTTTTCTCCCCCTTGCAGGGCGACTCGGGAGGCCCGCTTGTGTGTAAGGAGCCCAGTGGCCGCTGGTTCCTGGCGGGGCTGGTCAGCTGGGGTCTGGGCTGTGGCCGGCCCAATTACTTTGGTGTCTACACCCGCATCACAGGAGTGATTGGCTGGATCCAGCAGGTGCTGAGCTGAGGAGCTGCCCTCCCTGCGGAGCTGGGGCCCACCTCCCGGACTCAAGTGGCCAGGGCACCCACGAGGCAGGGGAGCGAGTTTTCTGGGGGCAAGCAGGGCCCCGCAGAGGCAGGGGGTGGCGTCCCGTGGTCCCCGACCTGCTCCCTGACATCTGCCCCGGGGAGGGCAACAGGAGGAAGAGGAGGGCCAGCAGCTGGTGGTCGACTCCCCCTGCACCCCAGGGCCGGGATGGTCAGCAGGCCCGGCTGAGGGGGTTCACATTCCAGCCCTGTCGCCTTCTGATTCCCTCTCCCCCTCCCCCTTCCTCCACTGCTGACTCTGGGGGTGGGGGAAATGGCTCAGCAGCACCAACGGGGCTTCCGGGTCCCAGGAGAGGTGTCTGGGCTCCCCTCTGCCAATGCCGAGCAGATCCCAGCCCGTGAACTTGCCGGGGGGGGGTGGGGTGTGGATGGAAGGCACCCTCGAGGGACCCGCAGAGCCCCGGAGACAGCCAGCTGGGCCAGCTGCCACCGTAAGCCAAAGGGTGGGGGAGCCCCGGGTGTAGGGTTCTCCCCCCACCCCTACCTGTCCCCCGGGCCTCCACTGCTCACTCTCACCTGGAAGTGAGCTCCGCCGCCCTGTGGAATAAAGCCGTTTGATCTGAGGCTCTGCTCTGGGGGTTAAACAGGGCCCTGGAGCACTGACCTCACGCTCTCGACTGTGCGAGCCTCCGCTTCCTGCCCGGTCTGTTCGTCAAATGTCTGGAAGGCCAAGGTTAGGTCAGTGGGGGCGGGAGAGTGACCTCCCGGGCAGTTGTCCAGGTCCCAGGACCAACCCCAGGAAGGCAGGGGTTTGGTGAACCGGAGATCAGAGCGAAGGATGGCACAAGTGATGGGCTCCTTCTGGAAGCCTGGGAGGAGACTGAGGCAGAGAGGAGCAGAGCCGTCCTCATTGGCACACCCGTGGTTGGGGGTGAAGCCTGGCGTGGAAGCCCCACCTCCTGGTTCCCAGTCCTCCACTTCTCCGGCACAACACTCCCTTTGCATTCTTGGCACCATTTACCCGGCAGGCTCTCCTGCTGTGTGTCAACTCCTGCAGTGGGGCCACGGAGATGCACAGAGCTCAGCTCCTGATCTCAGGAGGCCTGGGGATGGCAATCCAGCATGAAGGGGCTCTGGGGTAGCCGAGAACTCGGGATGTCAGGGAAGGCTGCCTGGAGGAGGTGAGACTTGAGTTGTGTGGCCCGAAGACGGCCGAGGTGGGGAAGGGCATTCCAGACAGGGGAACAGCACGTGCAAATGCAGAGTCCCACCAGAACGGGACATATTGGTAAGCTGTTTTGAGCGAAACAGAGGTTGAGTGGGAAGGAATGAAGGGTGGGAAGGGGGACTCAGAGCAGCTGACAAAGAGTTTGGAGTTGAGCTTAGGACTTGACCCTGCATGCTCTGGGAAGCCACGCAAGCCTTTATGACAGGAGAGTGACACGCGAGTGGATTCACATTGTGGAATGGACCACCAGCAGCAGTGTGGACGCAGTGGGAGGCAGGGAGGCCTTGAGGAGACCACTGCAGGACTCCAGGAGGGCGAGGGTAGGCTCTAATGAGCAGGGCAGGAAGGATGGACTTGAAGGACCCTCAGTGTCCTCCAGGTGCCTCCATGGATTGGGGTTGGGTGACAGAGGAATCACCCAGGGACCATTCCAAGGGGTCTGTTCTGATCCCCTGTTGCCTGGCCTGGTGGGGGCTTGAGGTCTGGAGGATTTCAGAGCCCCTCCTCAGAAGACACGCTGCCGGGGAGGCTGAGGAGACAGGGAGATAGACACTCCAGAGGGGGGGCTCCCGTGGGAGGCTGAGAGGCGTGGCCAGAGCTGAAAGGGTGCTGGGAGGGCGGAGCCTTAGCGACCAAGCGGCAGCGGTCAGAGAGGACCTCTGGTGCTTTGGCTATGGCCTGCTAGTCCAGAGGCCCGTGCAGGCGATCTCTTGCCTGCTGGGCCCGCCTGCAGGACGAGAGGACAGAACAGACCCTAGGGGGACAGCTCCAGGTCCGGGGGGGGGGGGGGTGGAGGATGTTAAAGCATTCCAGCCCCTAGCCTCTCAGGCTTCCCACAGGCGCGGCCAGACAGCGTTGGGGGCCCTGCTGAGATGGACATTTGTGGGTCCCACCCCGGTCTTAATTAGCCAGAATGGGGATGGGGGCAGGCTGGACGGTCTGTTCTTTTAACAAGCGTCCTGGGGACGGTTCTGCAAAGCAGGACACAAAATGTGAGGTCAGTTCGGCGAGCCAGATGCCCCAAGAGGAGTGGTGAGGGTCCCCCCTGGCCTGAGTGGAGCGGGGGGGGGGGGGAGCCTCGCCTGGCCCCAGGCAAGGCCTCTGCCTAGGGGCCCCCTGTTTTGCAGGGATGCCAGGGCAGGGGAGCAAGGTGGAGACTTAGCAGGGCTTGGCCAGGACGGAGCAGGGTGGGGTGGGAGGCCCTGCTGGGCAAGAAAGAGAAGCCCAGGGTCCTGCGGGCAGGCGGGCTCAGGGAACGTGGAGCAGGCGCCCGGGTGTTTATATTTTCTGAGACTGGCGACAGAAGGGTGACAGCAATGGCGAGGTGTGGAGGGGACCAAGAGAAGTCACAGCAGGATGCAGAGGGGGCACCCTGGGGGTTAGGACACAGCAGAGGCTGTGAAGCAAAGGGCCATGGGGAACAGTAGGGTGAGGCTGGGAAGCGGGTCGGGGCGGGGGCTGCTATCCTGATTTCAGCTACTCTAGGGATGCCGGGAGGCAGGAAGAGACCTGCCTGGCTCCAGGGGCTGGGCCTTTCGAGTCGCCTGGTCCAACCCTTTACTTTACAGATGAGGAAACTGAGGCCCAGAGAGGGGCAGGCACGTGCCAACGTTCTCCCAGCAAGGCAGAGCTGGTGACCTTGCCGTTGGGCCACTGGGCGAAGGATGCAGCTGTGACCTCCCTCCCCCCCTCCCCATACACACAGAAGAGTGACCACAGGGCAGGGCCCCGGGCTTTAAGAAAAAGCCCCGTTACCTTTGAGTCATTTATCCGACCTTGAGGTTAGCCCCATCCCCAAAAGCGGCCCAGAGGAAGAGAGGGAGGCAGCCCCGTGGCTGTTTCTTCAGGTTTTATTACATGGTGGGGTTGGGCACAGCCTGGGAGATCATCAACTCAGGAGGGGCCCCTTGCTCAGCCCCTGCTGCCCCCAGACTCTCCCCAGGGCAAAGGGAGGAGCGGCCCCCTTTCCCTTCTCACTGGTTCCTGCCGGCTGCACTGCCCCTGCGGAGCCCCTGCCCGCCCCCTCCTGGCTGGGGTGGGGGGGGGGCCCTCGGCACCCAGGGGGGCACAGGGCGGTGGGAGCAGCCAGGGAGGAGGCTGAGTCCCCCTCCCCCTTCCTCCGACAGGGCCGACCCCCACCCCCTTTGTTCCACCAATACCTGAATCTCCATGTGGGGCTGAGCAGATCCTTCCCCCTCTGAGGGAAGGGCCAAGGGAGGGCCACCCTCTGCCTGGTGCTTTGTACACTCCCCGAGGGCTTTCTGGGACCCTGCTCCTCTTTGTCAACCTCACAACAACCCTGTGAGGTAGGTGGCGGTGGGGAGAGAGAACCCACTGGACAGATGGGGAGACTAAGGCTCAGGGAGGAGATGTGACTGGGTCAGGAGGGAGGGTCTCATTCATGCAGCTGGGGGACCCGGGGGAGGGACCATGGCGGCGTGGGAAACACAGCTGGACAGCGCCACACTTTGGCCACAGGCCAGTGGCTCTGCCCAGGGGTCCCAGGGCCCACCTCAGGCCTTGAGAGGCTCCAGCGGGCCCCCACCCGGCCCCCAGAGGCAGGGGTAGATCACAGCCCCGCAGGTGTAGACAGAAGTGGCAGGGGGGAGAGTGCTTCCTCCGCCTGGAGCTGGGGCCCCACCCCGTGGTACAAAAATAAAGGATTTCAGATCGGAACCCCAAGTCCCTGGAGGTGATCTGGGGCCTCACATCCGGGTGCCTCTGGCTTGTAACAGCTAGAAAATAAGAGGGGGAAGGGGCAGGGGGAGGGGGGGGGGGGTGGTCAGAACACCAGGAGAGGAATGACAGGGTGGGGCCAGTGAGGAGGGGTGAGGTGAGGCCAGGGGAGGGCAGAGAGGAGATTGAAATGGAGGGAGGGGAGGGGAAGAGGGAGAGAGAAAGAGGTAGGTGAGTTACAGGGTCCCTTCTCAGAAGAGGGGGGGGGGGGGCCTGAGGCCCAGAGAAGGTGAATTCAGAGCCGAGGAGGGGGAGCAGGAAGGGGACCCAGCTCGCCCATCCGGGAGCCCCACGCCCCATCCTGGGCTGGGTGGTGGCTGCCGTGGAAGCCAGAGCGTTGGTGACTCTGGCTGGGGAAGGGGGGTGGGGTGGTCAAGGTCAGGTCCCTGCCGGCTCAGGCAAAAGGTGGCAGACAGCAGCTGCCTATCCCCATTTTAGAGGCAACTGTGGCCGAGACGGGGACAGTGACTTGCCCAAGGTCACAGAGCAGGCGGCTACGACGGAGTGGGGGCTTGGAGGCACCCGGCCAGGGCTTTTTCCGCGACGCCCTGATCCCCAGCCAGCTCTGGCGGACTGCTCGTAGGCCAAAGGAACCCCGGTGCGGCCGGCTGTCCTTCCCACCCCGGAAGAGATGGGGAACCCAGTGCCGCGAGGCTGCGATGCAGGGGCTCCTGGATGGGCAGGGGTGAGGCCAAGGCGTCTGGCTGCCGTCCCCCCCCCCCCTCCTTCCTAGCCCGGCTCTGGGGCTGAGGGACAGATGGCAAAGAGGCCCCGCCCCCTAAGGCTCTTCTCTCCGCGCCTCACACCCAAGGCCAAAACAGGTGAGGGGAGAAAGTCGGCTGAAAAGTCAGGCTCAGGTCCGGGGACAGGAGACGCGCCCCCTCCTGGCTGCCGCCCTCCCTCCAGCTCCGCCAAGCTACAAACCAGGGATGGCGGCTCTGGGGGGGGCGGGCTAGGGGCCCCGAGGAGGAGAAGCCCTCGCTGCAAGCGCAGCCTCAGCCCTGAGGGGTGCAGACGGGGACCTGCAAGGAGGAAACGTGAGGCGGCGGCGGCGGCGAGGACGGGAGGCGCTGGGCGGGGCGGCCTGGCCTCAGGGGTGCCCGGCGGGGCTGGCGGGCGCCAAGGAGACGCGGCCACGACCCTCGTCCCCAGGCCGGGAGGCGGCAGGCGCCAGAGGGGGCGCGGGAGGCGGCAGGCGGGAGGCTCTGGGATGCGGGGGGGGCCGGGGCGCCTGGGTGGAGGGCGCGGGAGGCGGGGGCCGGGGCGGCCCGGGGATGGAGGCGTGAGCAGGCAGAGAGGAAACCCGGACAGGGGCAGAGAGGGAAGAGGCAGGGTGCAGATGAGATCCAGGAGGAGGAAGAGGTGGATGAAGATGAGGCGGGGCCTCCCGCGGGAAGCGGAGGAGGCGGCGGTGGCGGGAGGGAGAAAAGGTTAGCGGGCTCCTGGGAGGACTGGGCTGTAAAGAGAAAGCGAGAGAAGGGATGGTTATGCAGGCGAGGCGCCGGGCGCGCGGCTGAGCTGACCCTGGTGGCCCGTCCCCGCCCGCAGGCCCCGGCCCCCCGGTTCGGCGGCTGGCTCCAGCGGGGCAGTGGGCGGGAGGCTCTGGCTTTTATGCGCAATCATTCTCCTCGGGGGGCGGCTGCACCTTTCTCCTGTGTACCTGCCTCCACCTGCACCTGTTCCACCTCCTGCCGCCGCTCGTCCTCCAGCTGCTCCTCCGTGCTCTGTGGACCAGCCGGCGGACCCAGGGAAGAAAGAGTGGAGAACTAACGAGGGGCCAGGGCCGGCGGGCGGCTGTCCCCGTGGGCCCCCTCTCAGGGCGGGCGAGATGCGGGGGCGGGGCGGGGGGACCTTAAGGAGGGAGAAGCTGGGGCGTCTTGTCCCGTCCCCTGGGGGCTCTGGAAGGGCCTGGAGGAAGGGCACGGGACGGGGCCCCCGCTGGGGGATGCTCACGGAGCAGTCCGGCCGCTACTACGGGGCGCAAGGCCGGGTGAGGGCTGGAAGAGGAATGGGTAGGTGTGTGGCCAGGGGAGCCTGGGAAGGCCTCACTTCAGGAGGGCTGACCCAGAGTAGACACGAGGCCAGGGAAGGCCCGGGGATGCCATGGACAGGTTCCGACGCCCCAAGCTCCCAGGCTTTGGCGCAGAGAGGCAGGAGCAGCGGGCTTGCTCTGCACCCTCGCAAGGCAGTGCCAGCCACTGACCCTGATGGCGGTGGGGTGGGCAGGGGGAGTCGCAGGACGGGGAGGCAGACAGACAGACAGGAAGCCCGGGTTCGTAAGTCTCCGACGCACTGGGACAGACCCCCCCTTCCCCCCCCAGAGGGAACGGTCTCCCTCTTTCCCTGCCTGGCTTGCTGCCCTGCCCCATCGGCCCCACCAAAGGCCCTCGAGGCTTCTGACCGGCTCTGGGTTCGAGGCAGCAGGACCTGTGCTCAGCCCCCTTCCCCACAGCCGGCTTTGCTGCCTCGGAGGCCAGGGCAGGAACACGTGGCTGGGTCCCCCGGGGTTGCTGACCTCTCCCCTGCAGAGCACCCGAGGAAGGGGCCCCGGGGAAGGGGCAGGATGCACAGATTTGGCTTCCCTGCCCCGGCCCTGGCCAGCTGGGAACATTTACCCACCTCTGGGAAATAAACTGGCCATTTTGGATCCCAGAAGCTCTAAGCGTGGAGGCACCAGAGAGGACGTAGTCTACCCTCACTTCTCAGAGAACACACCGGAGGGCCGGGGCTTGTCCAAGGTCACGCAGGGCGCGGCACACCGTGCCCAAACCCCTAGTTCGGTACACCCTGTGGCCGCCGTGCGAACGGCATCCAGGCCCCCTCTGGCCGTGCCCTTGGGACGATCCTAGCTCATTTCTCCCCCCGCCTGGGCCTGGGTAACCGGCGTGAGCAGACGGGACCGTGGGTGGCATGGGATGGATGGCATTGGCTGTGACCAGGTGGTTGGTTATGTGTGTGCGGCAGGAGGGAGAGAGAAGCAGGGATGGCTGGGTGGAGGGCAGGGAGAGGATGGAGGAAAAGGGCGGGGGAAGCTGAGGCGGGGGGGGGGGGGCTCACCTTGGTTTTGCGGCTGGACTCAGAGCTCAGCCCGTGCGGGGAGGTGTAGAGCTCCTTGGACACCACGCACAGGAACTCAGCCTGGTCCTCGTTGCCATAGTTGTAGGAGGAGCCGATGTTCACCAGCTGGGGGGCGGAGCGTGGGGACAAAGAGGACAGGTTGGGAGGCCGGGTTAAAGGCAGCCCGCACAGCCACCCGCCCTGGCTTGGCGGGGCGGGGCCTGACCCCTGGAGGACGCCGCCTTCTCTCTGCGGTTCCCCACCCCTCACCCCAGCCCCAGATCTAGAAGCCGCTGCTTAAAAGCAGGCGGAGGCCACGCTGGGCGGATCATCGTCCACCTCCGTCCCAGGCGTGGCTGAAGCAGCCCCAGAACCAAGCTGTAGGGTAGGGTTGGCATGGTGGGGCCCCACAGACTATTCTGTTCATCCTCAGAAGCAGAGGTGGAAGGGGCTGTCCCCTCCTTAGGCCGGAGGGCAAACGATCGGTGCCCCCTGAGCTGCCTGCTCAGCCTCTGGGAGCCCATGCGATTGCCAGAGGCTCCCGTGGGCTCCACGGAGCCCCACCTTTGTCCCGGGGTCCTTGGAAGAACCACAACCACGAGGCCCTGCGCAGGACATTCGGCCCCCCAGGACCCTCGCCCAACAGGCAGAGTGAAAATCAGCCCCTCTGGCTAACGGGGCTTGAAGAGACAGTAACCTGTAGGAAGTCCCCCAGCCAGGAAGAGTGGAACAGGGGTTAGACCCCGGGATCCTGAGTCCTCGCCGGAGTCTTATAATCTGATAATCTGTGTGATCCTGCTGTTAATCTGTGTGATCCTGCTGTTAATCTATGTGATCCTGCCTGGCTCCAGGGAGTTCTACTCTAGGCCAGGGACTTTACCCATGGCACTTCTTTTTTTTCTTTTTCAATGTTTATTTTTGAGAGAGAGAGAGACAGAGTGCAAGCAGGGGAGGGACACAGAGAGAGAGAGGGAGGCACAGAATCTGGAAGCAGGCTCCAGGCTCCGAGCTGTCCGCACAGAGCCCGACACGGGGCTCGAACTCACGGACCGCGAGATTGTGACCTGAGCCGAGGTCGGTCGCTCAACCGACGGAGCCCCCCAGGCGCCCCTGTCCACGGCACTTCTAATCTTCCCAACAGTCTTGCAAAGGGAGCACGACTGGCCCACGTCACAGATTGGGAAACTGAGGCCCAGAGAGGAGATGTGACTCGCTCAGGGTCACATGGCCTGCAAGTGGCAGATCCAGGCCTCTGGCTCCTGGACGGAGCTATTCCTCCGTACCGCCCGGCCATCCGGGGAGCCCTGGCCTTCTCCCTTCTTCAACCTCCACGTCCCAGGGGCCGTGGGCAGGTGCGGCTACAGAGCCAGCCAAACCCTCTTCCTTCTCGAAGGACAAATGTGACGTGGGGTTAACTTGCTGGCTCTGTTCCTCTGGAAACCTGAGCCGCGTGACGTGAGCTGCGTGGCCAGGATGGCACCACTCACGACAAGTTGCTCCTGACTGCATCGGTCCCTGTGAGTCCTCGTGGGAAGTCACCGCTTGGGCTTCCCGGATGTGGCAAGGCTGTGACTCGGCAGGTCCCTGGCAGGGACCCGGAAGCTGCCGGGCCTTGTCACGAGAGGCGTTGACCCCAGGTGGGGTCCGCTCACCTACGGGGGATCGAGTCCCCTTGCTCCTGAGCTGTCGCCTGGGGGCCAGAGACCTGCCCGTGCCCCTGCGGAGACCACGCCCCGGGGGCTGGGAGAACCCCCACCGAAGCCGCCTGGGTCTTCTGTCTCTCTCCTTCTGATCACTCTGCGGCCGAGCGTGGCCTTTCCTACTCTTGTTCAGCGTGATGGCTGGGGGTTCCCAGCCTGGGGCTTCCCCGTGACGCCGGGTGGTTCCAGGGGTGGCCCCGTGGCCCCCACCCACCTGCTCGAAGCGCCAGCCGTCTGACATGGTGGAGACCATCTGCGTCAACTCCTCCTCCTGGCACTGCAGCACGCGGTACACGTGCTTGGGGGGGGACCTGCAGGCAGAGAGGTGACCTGGAGGGCAGCCGGGGGAGGGACGAGCACCTGTCACCCCCGCAACTTCTTCTCCCCCCGCCCACCGCACACCCCTAAGGAGACAAGGAGGGGCAGGTGCAAGGTGGGGAGACGGCAGCCACGTCCTGAGGACCCCCCCCCCGTGTGCCCAGCCCTCGACACGCACGGTCTCACTTCATCCTTCCCCACACGCCACGAGTTACGGGATCTTCACAGAGGCTCTGACTTGCCCAAGGTCACGGAGCCGAAGCGTGGCAGAGGAGGAGCACAGGTGGTACGAGGGGGAAGAGAGGCCACGGAGCTAACCCCCTTCAATCTCCGGGGGCCACCCGTCTGCCTGCCCCCACCCACGTCTCCTCCTGGGTGGCCAGAGGGGCCCCCCCCCCAGCCCCGCCTCCAGACCAGGCCCAGGGCGCTCAGAAGCCTAAGCCCCAGCACCTCGCGCTCTGCCCCCAGGGGTCTGCCTGATGTCACGAAATGGACAATTTACTAATCCTGCGTTGCCCCCACAAGGCCCCCTGTGCCTCCACACTGACCCCATTTTGCCGCGGGGAAGGGAAGAGGGGGCAGGTCTCAGTGGGGGGGGCCCATTCATACCGCGAACAGAGGCGAGTCAGGGACAGAACCCAGCGTCCTTCTCCCTGTCTGGGGCTTTGCTGGGCAGTCTGGGAGCTGGACAACCCCCTCGCGTCACAGGCCAGCTGGGCCTCCCCACGTCTCCCGACCCTCCTCCCGCCTCCCCCAGCTCTGGCTCTCCCGCCACAGCCAGCTCTGGCTCCCTGCTGCCTTGCTGCTCCTGACCTGTGTGACGGGATAGTCCTTCTCCTCCATCCGGTCTTTGATGATGCGGATCAGCGGGCCGATGTTGTAGAACTCGGCTTCCTCTAGGACCCCTGGCACAGACAGAGCGGCCCCCGGGTCACTCGGGCTGCCCCCGTGCCCTCCTCTCCCCGTGTCCCCTCTGCCCCACACCCACCCACACCCGCCAGTGCCCCCATCTGGGGGCTGCTTCAGGGCTGGCAAGAGGCAGCAGACTCACTGGGGCCGGAACCTAGAACATCACAACGAGAAGGACCTCGGCTGACCACCCCCCCCCATCACACACTCCCATCGATGAAGCGCGGCTAAGTGCCAG